CGAGAGGAGTGGGCCGCCTCTGCAGAAGAACTCCCCCTCGAGCTCATTTCCGGCGCGGATCGGGGGTGCATCGGGCTTCGAATGCGTATTCGGAGCGGGCAGGATCTGCTGAGGGCTTGTCTGAGCGGGACTGGGCGCTCCACAAGGTAGCCGGACAGTATCCACGCGGATGCATGTACCTTCGCGAGCGTCTAACGGGTCACGAGTCGGTCACGGAGATAACAGTCTATTCCCAAGCACCGTCCTGTGTACCAGCGACCTACAGAGATACCGCTCGGATAACCCAAATAGGACAAGGTCATCGTAGGTCGCTCCGATTCAGGTTTACTCTTTTAGGACTATCCTACTATCAAGTTCAGAGGCGGAATCATGTCGCGGGAAAAAATAGCTCCGAGTCCGGAATCGAAAACCGCGCAGAATCTAGCATCCTTATCCTGAATATCGACATTCAGCGACACAGGAACGCCTGAAATTCGGTCCCCACGGGCATCCAAGGGAGCGGAGCTATCGCCGACGTAGGTGATTCCGAGTCCGATTCATGTCGGAGAGGGTCGACCTTTACCATAAAACGCATCACAGCGGCTTATCAAGGCTTCTTTGAAGGGATTCAAAGGGAATCTGCTTCGAGAGGCGGTCATCAGTCATGCATTTCTCCGAGATCGTCTTGAAAGATTCGCCGATTGCCCCCAATTCGTTCCAGATGGAGGCGCCCGAGTTCACGAGCATGCATGGAGGGGGAATGATACTGCTCAAGACGATCGCTCTAGATGAAGTTCATTGGATCGTGAGAATTCCTCCTCCAATAATCAGTGGTGGTTGGAAAGAAAGCGGCAGAATAGGGCAACAAACAGCACTTGCAGTTTGTTCCTCGTTCTTGTCGTGTGAAAGTACGTACCTCTTCCTGAATCGCTTCTTTCGCGCAATGAAGAAGTCAATAATGCACCGGGAGGATGGGTATGCTTTCCCCCCAGAAAGCGCTGGAAGCTTAAATTCCCACAATCACGCCGACAAGCGCTCACATATCTTTCTTGAATATCATCGGTTCTCAGGGGGACTTCTTTGATCTCTCACAGTTGTCGGAGTTCGTCCGGAATCATCGGCATCATTCGAGGCCGAGTGTACATGAGTGAGAGACGGGGCTGTCACCGGTCTCCAGAGAATCTTCTCGGTGTCATATGAGCCACGTGGGAATACTCCGTGTCATACTCCGATCGACCAGCGATCCCGGAAAATCAATATCGTCTCGATTGTTTGTTCTGGCTGAGAGAAGGGCTGTTATGGTCCATAATTTATCATCCGGGAGCTTATTGAATAGGAGTTTCCAATATCGTTAATGTTGGACACCGTGCATTCACATGAAGAGAAGAGTCGCTCGGTGACGCGCCCCGGAGAAGCTGCTGCGAGCGGTGGCTTGCGACTCCAAATTGGATCAGGCCGAAAGTATTGGAATTCTCGTGGCGGCAACCACGTCCCGATATTCTCAATTCTCCACGTTCCGACGCGGCGACTCTCAGTGAGTGAGAGCAGGAGCACTTTCCGGCCCTTTGTACGGCGACGGATAAGACTCGTCCCGCGCAGTAGTTTGACAATTTGACAATTCGTTGAAACATCGGGATCCTAATCAGGGCTCGCGAGCACCGTCCGTATCTGCGCAAAACGGAAAAGCATACCGAGTTCCGTGGGGGGCAGGGGGGGGAATCGCGCCTTCATAGGGCGTGGACAGCAGCCTTGCGAACGAAAAAATCAGGGGGGCAATGGCAACCTTGCTCCTTTGGCAGAGAATTCTGCAATCTTCATCCACTTTGTTCATCTCCTTCCCCCCAAGTCTGCGCTCCAAGGGTTTGGCGGAATCCGATGGAAATTTTCCGAGAAGGAACGCTTCCTTCCATCCAGAGTTTCCACTCGACTGGGGGCGGTAGGTCCCAAGACGCACTTCTCAGGGGGCGGCATTTCCGCGTTGGGCGAGGAAAAAGAAGTTTCCGGAAAAGCGTTTTCCTCAGGTTCTTTAGAGGCGGGGCCGTTGCCAGAACCGAAAAGTATTCGGTTCCGGAAAAGATCTCGCGATGAGGGCATGAGAAGGGTCGGCAGAGCCGCCCAGCGAGGCGCAGGGGCTCACCACGCCACTGGCTGGAATCTCGTGTGGGTCGTGTTTTGCTTTGAAGGTCCAGCTCTGCGTTCCTTCCTGATTGCGACAGTCACTTATCCTCTCCTGGCAACTCGCGAGATAGAGTCAGGACCGCACGAGCAGCTCCGAGCGCTATGAGCTCGAAGCTGCAATTGATCGTATACCGTCTTTTTTAAGGATTCAAAATTGAATATGTTCATTGCCTCTTGTTTCGCGAGAGGGATTCCGCTGTTTCCGACAGAGCAGTATGGGGACCTCTCAGTCAGCATCGGAATATTGGGTGCATGCGATGAGGAGAGAACTCCCGTAACATCATAGATTTAGGCTTGCTCTACAAAGCAGAAGCCGAGGACCTCGGCTGGATGAGGAGGATACAACGTGCCTGCGAATAATTTCAAAGCAGACGGTGTCCGCCCACTCGATGCGAGGACTCATTTCCTCTGTCATGGTGCTTCTCCGGCTGCCCCGGGACCTGAAGTTCGGTGAAAGCAATCGTGATTCGACTCTCTCCGGCATAGTCCCGAATCCGGCCTTCATCGGAAACTACAGAGCCACATAGGTAATACCGAAGAAAAACAGGTGCACTTGACCCTGATGATGAGTTCGATTGATTTTCAAGAAATTCTTATTATTATAATTATTATGGCTCATTCCGGAAGTCTCGGAGAGTCCCGGTCCTTCCTCACCACATATTGACGTGAGAAGTGGAACTCAGCCGGGGTAACAGAAAGTTAAGTTCCGCAAGACCGTCGTGTCCACGCTCTTTGTCTTGGCTCGGAACTTTTTCTCCGCTGAGCCACGTGGACGACGATCCGCCTGTTTGGGCATTGAAGAAGCTCCAAACTCCGCCAGGTAAAACGCATATCCGTATGAAAACAAAAACTTTGGCCCCCACTCTCTTAATCGTCGCTTAATATGACGGAGAGTGGATGAGTAAGCTCCGCATCAATTTCGAGCCACAGCTCCCTATGCGGCGTCCACAATCACCTGAAAACAGAGCCACTTTCGCCAAATCTGTTGGATCGCTACCAATCCTCGAGAATCGCGAGCTCCAGGAAAAATCCTCGTGAGCACCCTCAGAACATTCCGATCTCATCACGGGACATGGACATGGCGACTTTCTCCTCCGGGGGCCGCCGCGCATCGATGGCTCGATCGTTCCGGGAGGGTATCCCTCAGATAAGGAAAACAAGCCAGATCCCATTGGCTACTCCCGAGGTTTGGTCTCATCGAAAGTTGATGGGAATGGAATAGTCTCCTGTCGCTACTGACGTCCTTCCTCGGCTGAGACTCGAATTTCGCGGGCAGGCGAGAAATAATTGAAGAGCAACGGGGTGGTCCAACCTGTCGGTGCATCCTATGATGGAGCGTGGCCGCCACGGCTTTCGGCGTCTCAGCCCGCCGGCGTTCCTAATTTTGACGTTAAAGCTCATGCAGGCAACCAGAAATTTCGGCGGGAGAGGCTTCAGTCGAGTTCGACTAACCCTCAGAAGGTGTCGATGTTCGCAGGTCGACGATCGCTTACTTATGCGTAGCCTCCTAACAGTTCGAACCTTTGCAGGCCAAACATAACTCGTCAAGAGACAAGCGCCCTAAAACTAGGAATTGACTCCGGATATTCTGCTCGGGTCCGGAAGTATCCTCTGTACAGGACCCTAATCCCAACATTATCCGGAAACATTCCATCCCCCGAAACGGCCGTACTCTCCGAGGCTTCAAATTCATCCCTCCTCATGACTACTTCATCGCTGTCGTCACACCCAGTGTGGGGCATTTGGTCGCTGGAAACGCGCTAATGGCCCCGTGAACGGGCCGCAATTTTCCCCGCGATTACTCAGCGAGACTTCAAGCGGCTAGTTGGAACCAGCGGAAGCGATGCACAGGTTGCGATCCGGAGTGACCGCGGATTCATTTCTGGGTGAAGAGGAAGGCTCTTCACTAATTTACGACTCGGCTCTATTTTGTTCCTTCATCCCTGGATGAAGTCCGAGAAAAAACGAATGATTCGAAGATGGCCATGCGCCCGATCAGGAGATGAGCACCGGTCGCCGGCGGATCCATGGTGCGCAGCGGAGCTCTGCCTGAAACCTTGAATACAGCTTCCAGTCCTCGCTCAAGTACTGACCTCAAGAACCTCGAAACACCTAGTCGTTAGCGGAGTGTCGAGCTCAGAGAGGGAGGTCGACTTACTTTAAGAGTTAGTGGCGACACCAGAGGGGGCGAGATCCTACCGGATCTACACTAGCCCCTGCCAAAGCTTGTATGGTTACCACAACTATACTCGATGGAGGCTTGAAAACTCGATCCGATTTGAGGTTCGGGCTCTGGGAATCAGGAAAAGTCTTCGATTCATGAGCATCTCGGGAACGACTGCTCCCGAGGAGTTCGAGATACGTGCGGCGTGAACGGGAAGATGCAGTCGGCGCTTGATGAGAAAATGTGAGCCGACCGTAACATAAACAGGGAAGGTTCCGACAGAATCGCTGTGATGGGGGATAATCACGATTTCAGCAGACTCGAGTGCTTTCACGCGTATCAGCGGTATCTGAAAATTCGCTCACCCCCATCCTCTAGTCTCTAGTCTATCCATTATTTGGGCTCGAAACAAGCCTCTCGGATATGAAAGCGGGTCCTGAGGGAAAAAACGGTTTTTTGCCCGATCCGAGTCGCTCCCCTCATTGTGTTTCCGGGAATCCTCAATGCTTTTCTTGCAATCTCCCGCGCGATCTTTCGTCTCCATCAGTCCATATCTATATGGTATCTGACCAACCTTCTCATAAAAAATAGCGGCACCTTCTGCCTATCCCTCCACAGCTTCAAGGAAATATGAAGACCGCTGTATTTAGACTGAGCAATGGTCATCAATTCCTTCCGTCAGACGCGGACGGCTCCGCACTCGGGTAGGAGCTATACTTGTGGCTCATTCTAATTCCTGTTCCTCGTTGAAAGGTAAGTCTCTGGATCGATGCGTTTCTTCATGGTCTTGTCGATCTGCCCTCGATGCACGCAGCGGAATGTCCATCTGAGGAGTTTTGATGCTTTCCCCGGAAGCATGCAGCTGAGATTGCGCTCGAGATGTGGAAATTCTCCCGATCTCGATGCGGGCCCCCGGTATTGAAGCCCTCTGTTCGAGTTCCCCCAAAAACTCTCCGCAGATGAATCGGATCAAATGGGAACGCGATCTGTGGGATTCGTGCGGAACAACATTTCTGACAGGTCTCGAAATGATAAATCGAATGCATGGCGCCGCCCTGATCACATGGATCATAGCTCTAGTATGCATGGAAATCAGCAGATCCAGGAAATCGTCGATGATGCGCGTCCATGAACGATTAGGAAAAAAACAGAAAACAATCATTCCTCGGCAATCTTCCTGAGCTTTTCTATTCGCCCGATGTCTTGAAGGGAGTAGGACTTGAATATATGATTGCCGGCTCGCCTCTGATGAGCCCTCCAGGAGCAGAGGTTGTTGTAACGGGAGATGATGCGAAGTCCAAAATGTTTTGAGCTTGTTCGTCTACCGTGTTGGTGACAGGTTATTGTTAGAGATCACTGTGATCCCGAATTCAAGAGTGAGAAACATCTCATTGGTGTCAGGGTACAACCCCATACCCAGAGAAATCGTGTCCAGCCGGCTTGGAATTCGAGGGGTAATCTGCCCTCTGGGTGATATTCTGGCTTTCAGTGAGCGAAGGTCAACCGGAAGCACTATCCACTTCGCATCCTTAGGAAAATGCGGCTAATATTCGCTTTGGTCAGCGGTGAGTTCTTCCTCGAGACAAACCTTCTGGAGTATTGGTTCGAATAACAATGAATACTCATCTAAATACATACACCATTTCCAGTATTCCTCGTGACTCCAACACGAGCGGCTCTGAAGGACGACTGGCAAAATACGTGCGATGACGACGAGGAGTACGCAAATGTCGGCCTGATCGAGAAAGTGAGTCAGAGTTGGTTGTTTCACGCTGCGCCTCATCGCCCTTCTTGTAAAAAAATCGGCCTACGATTCTGCACGAATCAAATGAAACAGAGCGGGTTCAGATAATCGATTTTCATGGTTTCTTGTTTATCTAGTGGCAAAACAACGTGACAGGGTATGCATTGGCCGACAGTGTTCTGTGCTACAAGCAACACTTCACGATTTCTGTCGCCGGAGATATCCTTGAGTTCTCTCTCCCGAGAATCGACGAGATTGAAATAGGGTAAGGACGATGGAGGAAACGACGTCTTTGGAGTTGAACCAAGAGAGAGAGAGATCGAAAATTCTCAAGAATAGGTTCAAGTCTCATATTTTGCTGTTCGATCTCTGATGAGTGTACATAAGGGAAGTATACATACATATGATGTGTACTTACAAATATATGTACGTCACGTGTACACGTATATATCATGCACCCCATTTCGACCCATCTGACCTTCAGGGCTCGCTTCGAGAGAGTCGGAAATCATTACGAAAGCACCGGGAAGTCTGCTAGCCGACTATATTTCTTCAACGACAATGATAATCTAGACGAGCTGTACGTCCTCGAATGCGGCACAGGCAAGTTCCGAGATGGTTCAGGGCTTTCTTTGATTCTCCTCGGTGTTCGACGAGACCAACCCTCAACTACTAACCCTATATCCATTCCAGATAACCTCAATGTCTGGTATGTCCTCGTCGGGGGTAACAACGCTGACTGCACGGACACATGCGCCGAAGATGTTGAGAGAGCAGGTTTCGAACACAATCTCCAAACTTGCATCACCGGCCGTTCAGAATAGAGGCGCCATTCTGTGCTAGCAGGAGGAAGTGATCGAGCTTTCTTTCGATTGGTGTGTCAGAGAGAGCTGTAATACAAGGGTAAAATCATTCGTCGAGGAAATGGTCATTCGTCAGTCGGAAGAAATCCTGATGATGGGAAGTGTATCTACGCACTGCTTGCGCTGTGCACCAGGGGAAATCGGCCCGGGGAAAGAGTCACCTGGATGTGCGCACAATCGTTGCACTCGACGATTCTGTATTTTCGAGACTTCTCTGGTTCTCGTCAACTCGCGAAATGGGTTGCTTTGTCTCTCCCCAGGTGATGTATCTGACCCGTGGTGCGCGGGATGCTCCGGAGGAATTAATGAGCACCCTGGTGACGATACGGGAAGAGAGTGCACGGAGTCAGGGAGTATTTTTTCTCCCTATTTTCCGGGGCTCAAAAGGGCGATATTTGACGTACAGGCATCCGCCACTACACTTCCGATCCTGCGTCCGAATGCACTGCACAGATTTCACGCTCTCTCAGGATTATCTGCTCTCATTAAAAGTGACCTCACACTGGCCTCTCGTGATCATGATCGATTTCGTCTCCAGTTTGACCTCCATTTTGGGCTACTCGGGCTACTTATTCTGTTCAAATAATCCAGCTCGTTATCCCATGCATCCAACCCATATGTGTCCCGTCTAGCTAGTTGAGATGGCAAGCGACATGATCCGGGTCTAGTAAAGGTAGACTTTGTGTGGGGAGCTGCAGGTCTCTAAGCACTGGAGGCATGTTCCTCGTCCCTTTCGACGGGGAACTTGCCCACAGATCAGCAGTTCGTGGGAATCCCCTCGGGAGCCGAGGCTTCAGTCGGGAACGTTGCGTGGGCCAATCTCGGGAAATACAGTGTCAACGGATGAAGACACGTGAGAGACGTTTATAGCAGAGCTGATCTCCGCATCTTGGAGCTCATCCACAGCATATGTGTGTTGGAGCGATTCTACGAGTTCAGTCACTTGCGAAAGGAGTCAAAAAAATTTAGCTCGAGGTCGTCTCCTCTCGGAAATGCTTGGGGTATGAGAATTCTCGAAGGCAAATACCGCCACTGCATCGTACTTGAACAAATATTATTCTATTAGACTTGCTGCGAGGCTCGAATGTTTTCGAAAGCGTCCTGAGCACGGTCAAGGAATATAGCTCCCGCGCTTCCGTCTAGCCAAATCGAAAGGGCATGGCAGCTGGAAAAAATGATTCTTAGATTCAGCCTTGTAGCTTTCCACGGACGCGGGTCGGAGAAATCCGAGACTCTCGATCGGGGAATGTCATAGCTACTGTTTGTTTGAGGAGCGACAGAATTTATCGTCTCATTCACCTTGGAAATTTCGATGCGGTGGAATCACGAATAGCACCAACTGACTCAACAAGCATGCCGCGCTCCAAAATCTGAGTCTTCCTCTCCGTCGTGAAGAAACGCAGTAAGAGATGAGCATCCGCTCGGGTCAGTGCTTATGGATCGTCAGATTCTCCGTTTTTTTCGCCTTCAGATGCTTCTTCGCGCTGTGTTTCACCTCATCCATGTGCCTTGGGAGAGAGCACCACAAATCGATGTACAGCATAGAGCTGACCAGAGCTCAGTCGGACTTCAATAAGTCCAGATTCAGCCCTTGTGAAGGGTCGCGGCTCCTCAACCCCGTGGAAGCAGTGAAGGCGAATATCGTCGCGACTAAAATCTTCAAATCCTTTGGATCCGAGTTGATTATACGCACAGCGACGCGATACAATCTACCGGCATTTGTTCTCTATCCGCTCAGCGGAATCGCCTGCAGGCACATTCTGATCGTTTACAGTTACTTTTCGAAGAATGGGAAATGCCTAATCCCGAAAGCAGTGACCGCCGCAGATCTGTCGAGGATGAGCAAGGGCCTCGTCGGTGCCGTACGTTCAAGCAGAGCTTCCCGTGAATTCCGCCATAAGGACTTGACCTACAACCTATCAGGCGACGCGTTTTCTCATTTGTTCGGTCTACTAGATCAATACTTCCTCGTCCCAATCGACGGGAAGGTTGCCGCCGATTGCAATCAAATCCTCCACAGTATCAAGTTTGTAAGGAAAATTTTGCTGTGACCTTCTGTCGCACCAGACTCTGATGCTTCCCGGCCGGTGAATAAAAATCCGCAAGCAAAATCCGGCTCACTGGGGAAGAATCGAGAGCAAGAAGAGTTTTAGTTCGACGCTTCCTGTGTGGTGGCTCATCTTTCGCTTGGTTCGCGGTCAATTAACCGAGAATATCTCCGGAAAAGCTCGAGAGAATGGCTCCCCTTGTCAGATATCGATCAAGATGTGATCTAGGAGCAGGGCTCGGGTTAGCGTCATATCGTCATTGGCTACGTATGCTATAAAGTTGGGCTGATAATGATTCACTAATTCGGCTCGGAGCGGAATCGGAGAGCCCACTTTAGCAGTCGAGTCTCGCTAATCAAACGGCTTGCTGACTGAGGAGGAATAGGCTCGATTACTCGATGATTCGTTGGATTCGAAGGTCCACTACCGCGGCGCCTCCGATAGTAGCGAATCGTCAGAGGACCTCCCCAGATCTTTTTGACTCGGAGACTCTTCAGGAATCGGCGATTCCATTGGGGGTTGCGAAGATTGTGGGCGGCAAGCCACAGATGAGTTCGCGCAAGACACAGGACTCCATACCGACATATTTTGGTGGAGAGGTCCGCAGGTTCTCGAGGGGAAACTTTGTTGAATGGGCGGGGCGAAAGGCTCCGCCAAGACGGTTCGGCCGCTTCTTAACCTATCGTGCTAAATATCGACACATCTCGCGGGGAGGGTGCCTCTTTCTAGACTAGACAGACACCCAGAATTGCACGGCATTTTAGGGATGAGGAGCCTCTGCCCGGATGACGTATGAAAGACGGAGATTAGTGAGCACGATCCCTTGTGAATTATGAGACGTCGTCGCTGTTAATAATGAGAAATCAAACCCATCTGAAAATAGAAGTGGTACCCCCGAATACGAATTTCGTCAGCATACCTCAGGGCGCATCGATCGGGTTCGTTCTAGCGCTCTCGAAAACATTGATGAGAGCTCTCAGCACCCCTGATAAATGTTCGCTACCTTAGAGTCCGAAGAAATGATGGACATTCTCCACCATGATGAATACCGAGTTTTCTCTGGATTCATCAGCCTGGTTGTGAAACCTCATCGCTTCGGTTCATTCATGAGTCGGTTGCCCTGCCGCTCGCATGCATCCCGGTCCATCGAAGTCGATGAGACCAGCTTCACAATTTGGTGTCTGAAAACTCCGTAGAATCGCCCTGGGGACACCCAAAGAGGCAAATATCCTTCTATAGCGGACGCCTCGCTGTTTTCTCGCAGGTCACCTATGGCAGCCGGGATCGGCTGCAGACTCGTCGACAATGACCAGCGGTCCCATGCAAAGCTATAATTCGCTCAACGATGATGGGTTTTCATGGTCGACAGCTTCCTGGAAAACTCCCCGATTCCGAATTAGGTGGATTCATGGTTTCGTTCAACTCCCGGTTTTAGGGAGCGCTCGGTCCCGATCCCTCTTCGTGCAACGATATCAGAAAGGATGCAATTTTACGCAAATTTCTTGCGAGTCACTCATTCTCCCTTTTAGGGCCCGCCCTGAGGAAACTCTGGATCCGCGGAAGGAGTCCGCTCCGGTTCACCCGCGTGAAGCTGCGCTCGTCTAAATATTCGGGTTGACAAATGCATATATCGACCCCGTCGAATCGCTCGCTGTGAATAAATATCCGATCTTCATCTCGACCGTCGCGCTATGGGCTCGCGAGTACGGAGCTCGAGGCTGAGCAAGACCGGAATCGGGGAAGTTATGCGCGCGGAGACCGTTTGATATTCTCCGGCTTTCGCGTAGCCCTCGTAAGGGCATTCGTTCATCTCTCGGAGTGAGTTTCTCGTCGACGCTCCACACGTATCGCTCTGCGCTGCAATCTCTCCATTATAATCAAAAGGTCTCACAGCGTGACGGAACAACTTTTCAATCGACGAGAACACGGCCCAGCGTTTGAGCTCTGATTGGGGATTGGAGAATTGATCTTCTATCCTCACGTCTCGAGGACATTTTCGCATTCAAAATGATTTGCATTGAGGGAAAATTTGCTCGAAATCGAACATCTGTATGTGGTTCGCAGAAAATCAGTCTAATCGTAGCATACGATATTTCTGTTCTCGATAATACCCGGTAAGTACCAATCACGTTCGTAAAAAAGTTTGACTGTATGTTCCCCATAGACGTTTACTTATTACTCAGTACGAGTGAATGAGAGACATTGATTGATGAATTGTTCCCCATGGAATCTTGGGACTCGACCCTCTGCGACCCCTCGTGGGTGAAGATCATTCATCAGAGTAGAGAGCAGGGATCGATGGGCGTTGGGGGAGATGCCTTCATTATCGATTTCAAGATACTCCTTAGAGAGACAGAAATGGACGAGATCGGGAGTTCTGGAAGAAGCAGAATGTCTGGAGAGTCAGACAACTATTTTCTGAATACAGGTCTACCCTTCGGGTGGGTGAACAGGACAAGAAAAGCTTAGACAGCGAATGCGCGCCGGATAGGCGTGGGAATCCGTGACGACGAGGACAGGAATCATTCGCGGTTTCTATGCGTTCCCACTAATAAAGGCGCCGCCGACTATACGTCAAGTTCCTGGGCAGAGTCGGAGTGACCACCGGACTGACTTGAACCCTGTCCTCTGACGACCAGAACCGGAGCGCGTGCGATTGCCCGGTCCGAGAGAGGGCAGCGATCAGCCGGTTTTCTATCCCGCCGCCTGTGCTTTCCGAAGGATCCTCCAGACTTGAGTGTTGATTGACCGTCATCATGAGGTTTCGATTGAACTTTTCTGGCCGCTGGCCGCATCGAGCGGGGAGGAGAGATGGGAGAAGCTCTCGACGCAGCCTGCGCTGTTTGCCGCTCTGCGGAGATTTCAAGATCCTCCAGTGAGAGCCTTGACCATTGTGTAGGATTTGTAGACTCGGCCGAGCTTCCAGGGAGCTTCGATGCAGCTCATTCCGTGGAATGAACGACCTTCGAATCAGGTCGGCTGCCTCGGGAAAAATGTTCGCGCCATGCGTGGTTTGAATCGAGCCCGCGAACTACGGGGAGCGATGATCTAAATGTATCCGACGGTTCTGGTTGGTGCTCTGCGTTCTGTTATGTGTTTTGTGCGCCAATAATCCGGACAGACCGCCGCGCCGGAGAGGTTTGTCCGCTAGCTGCTGTGTGTGCTGCTCGGTTCAGTCGTCGTCGTCGTCGACGGTGCAGCTCGTGTCGTCTGTGCTTGCAGCGGCAGAAGCAACGTTACGGTGCCACCACTGCCACAGACTCCGAGTGGAGCGCAATATCGTTATCGAAGAGGCTTTTTCAGCCGAGGAAAAATCTTTTTCGTGCGGCAAAACTCGATCTCTGCGCCATGAGCAAAAAGCGTCTCGAGGTCGACGCGCAGGTGAAGAAACTTCTGGCGAGCTGCAAATCCGAGGAAGAGGTATGACGCACGCCGGTTGAAAACTTGATCCCGGCTGCCGAATGGGATCCTTCTTGAAATATCTGTAGTTGACCGCGGTTCCTCTCTTAGCTTGAAAAAAACGCGTGTACCTGCCGCGGATATCCTGGCGCTTGTCAAATCCGGGGTAGAATGTTTAGCGTTGTTCGACGCGGAAAATCGGTTCCTCCATGCAGAACCGTTGACATCGCGAATGGGGAATAGTCGGCGAATCGGGAATTTCTCCCAAAGAGAATCTCGATGTCGACCGTATCCGATGACAGATTTTTGAAACTCGTCTGGTGTGGATATTTGAGCTCAAGATAGCGAATTCTTGGACTTTTGCTGAATGTGGGGACCTCGCGCAGACAGCGAAACTTCGAGAGCGCCGGAACAGTGCGCGCGAAAAATCCGCGATGTGATTGAATTTAGTGAACTGATCGGTGCGAATAACTTTGAGCCTCATTGCTCAAATTTGAGAGGAAATAATGATTTAGATCTAGGAACATGACGGGAGCACCGTCGTCGGAATTTCATTTCTGACGGCGATACTCGCAGAATGTCAGCCGATGCTCAGCCTTCCGGGAATCCATCCTGGTTCGGGCATTCACTGTGAATTTCATCTCTGATTCGAGTTCTGGAGTTACGATCGCGCGCGTTCAAAAGCTTTCCACGAGGTTCACGTTAGAGCCATCGCCCGCGCGGGACGGAAGAGTTCGTTTAATCACCTGTTGACGCTTTCAGCGGATCCATCGGTACCTGCGAATCGCCCAGCAGTACCTTTACATCGATGAACACTGCGAGGCTGAGAAGTATCTCCTGCGATACATCAAGGCGAAACCCGACAGTCATGAAGCGCACAAACTCGTGGGTGAACTCTATCTCAAGCTCCGCAGATTCCAGGACGCTTACGACTCCCTGAAGAGGTCGGTTCGAAGTCAAACGTTCAACTTACCATAGTTGAGGGGAGCAACCCTCACTCCAGAGCGGGGTAAATCAATTACTTCGCTTGCGCGATTCGACGCGTTGATGCGGTGAGTTCACTCTTAATTTTCTTTCCAGATCCTACGAACTCAGCGAGAACAAAGAGGTTCTTGCCAACATATGCGAAGCCGCTCCCCTAGCATCAATAGCGCTGTCGGTGAAAAAAGGCTGGCTGAAAGCGGCAGAAGAAGCCAATATTCCGCAGATGAGTATGTTAGGCCTGAGGGAAGCCGTTCTCCGTGAGGGCGAATTCAGCGTTCTGGTAGGTGGTGATTGATTCTTCCTCGGAGCTCCACGACGAGCTTCCTCGACGAAATGTCGCCGATCTGCATCCGCTCCATCAAGGGGAACCGGAAGACTGGAAATCCCCTCCACGAGAGACTAATTTGATCATGTTTTTGTTCAGGAGATGGAAGCAGTCCTGAAAGAGCGGTCCATCCTCTATCCTCTAGAGCCGGAAGCGCAGATAAAGTTGTTGGTGTTTTATGCTGAAGCGAACCGATTCGAAGATTGTGTGAGAATCATCCTGCGAGAAGAGAGCAAGCAGGAGTTGCGGAACAGCCCCCAGTGGTACAGAGCGTGTCAAAACGCTCTGAATGTAAGTTCCTCCACTTCCATTGATTAAATCGGTACCTCTCAATTTACTGCTCGTATTCTAATCGCGCTCCGATCCCACAGAAACTTCGTTCGAGTAAAGCCATGCCCTACGATCAGACCCTCGCCCTTCTGCACCTCCACATCAGTCAGAGATTGACCATGGGTTTGATCACGGATCCGTTTTTCATCGCCGACCAAGACAAAGGCAGTGTGGGTCTGGAAGCATTCTTCAAGCAGCTCGAAGTGTTCGATAACTTGTTAGACGAGGCTCTGTCAAATCAGCAGTGGTACCGGGAATGCTTGTGGTCATTCGTATTGGATCACTTCACCGGTCAATTGTTGTTCCTATTCGCGCTCGGTATGCTGCGTCGGGCCGACGAATCGAACCGCGAAGATGCCTACAGGGCTCGAGGTCAGGCACTCATGTTTTGTGCACTCGAATATAAACCTAAGAAATTGACGAATGAGACTTGGTTCTCAAAACTCAAAGACGACGTCAGAAAGCTCTTGCTCCAAGTGCATCTGGACGGCTCTTATCGCACAACCGTGTGCTATTACTGCCTCGCGAACACGTCGACTGATCCGAGTTTGGCCGAGAGCGTCAAAATCGCCCTATCGGGGAACTCCGCTGTGAAGTTCGTGACCGAGCGACTCTTCCCGGGAAAAGCGATCGCGGCCGTTTTCAATCAGACGGTCCTCGCTCGAGCTTGCACGAAGCTCCCAGATCGATCGGTGATCGCTCCCTATGAGAGTAATTCGTGCATAGCCTTCGCCGGAAGTCTAGAGCACATCGTGTGGTTGCTTTTGAGCGGAGCAGAAATGCCGACGGAGAAGATCTTCCCCTCGTTGCTCCTAGTTCCCAGCACTATGGATGGAGCGCACACACCATCGCAATCCGATATCGACGCCTTCCTGGCGGCAGTCTTGGCCGCAGTTAGACTTTTCGGAAGCAAGCTGGACATCATCAGACCCACGGTTCCCCGCGAAATTCTCCACAGGGCTTTCACCACGAACAAACAGGTGGGTTCTGACCGCGGGTTCGAATAGCGACAGCGGGATTTTGGTCGTCGATTCGGCTTGAGATTTTGGTTTTCGATTCGGCCTGAGATTTTGTCTTTCTCCTTTCCAGCAAAACTTCTGGAACGCCATGTATCGGACGTTTGTGAAGAAAGTCAACGCTGGCAGGGATTTGATTCAACCGAAAAAAGTTGTGAGCGACGGACTCGATATCGTGCGCGGCAAGGATGCCAAAAAGTCAATGCCGGTGTACTATCTGATTCAGATCGCTCGAGACCTCCATGAAAAAGGTCGCAAGAAGGCCCCATACTTCGGCGCTGCCGTGAATTACTACAGGGTTCGTTGCGAAGCTTCGTGATTGATTCTATGTAGCTACTCTCTCTCCTCTGAGGACACGGGAATCAGCCCAGAGGAGTTTTCTAAGCGCGCAAAAATAATGACTGGAGTGGGTCATTCCAGATTGTCCTCGCTCGGCTGGACGAGCAGCACAGAATCCAACCGGCGATCGGTGGCGGTCGCGCGGCCCCGAGCGTGCTCTTCGAAATCCCCAAAACGATGGCTGCGTCCGAAGACGCAGGTGGATATCGTGGCGAGGCAAATTTAGAAATCGGAAAGTTCCTTCTGTATTCTGGACAACTCGAACGAGCCCGCAGTACCCTCGAATCGGTCCACAATCCTAAGGGTTACTTGTACTACGCGAGAGCGGCTGGAAAGCTCTGTGACGAACTCATGTCGGAGGGCGATGTCGACACGATCGAGCGCCTCCTGGAAAAATCGAGCGCTCTGCTGAAAAAAGGTCTGCAGATGGCCCAGAGCGATCCCGAGTTGAGCGAAAAGTTGAAAAAAGAACTCGAGTCTCTGAAGTTCAAGGCCTCGGAAACAACGAGCTGCCTGGACGTGGAGCTGAACGTATCGGGACTCAACACCCGAGGTTTGTATTTCGCGCCCAAACCCAGTAATCGCGATTCTCTGAATCCCCATGTAATGAGCATGGTCCAGCAATACATCCTCGATATGTCTCGCTGACGATATTCCCTCCACGAACAGAGACGACTTCGCTCCCAGAAGTCGACATGAACAAAATCGACACGCTCATCAAAGAACAGACGGCGAAAATTTTGGTGGACTCAACTCAGAAGTCGGCCAAACTCGAAACGGAACTCACTGAGTTGAAGGCCATGCAGGCAAAACTCATCGAGACTCTGGCACAGGTAAATATTATAACCTAATAGGCAAACAATAGTAATCTGATCGAGACGAGTCGCCAACGAGAAGAGACTGCTTGTGACGGGTCAGCGCATTCCTATCTGGCTCGTTCATCGTTCGATGTCGAGGATGAATGATCGTTCTCCGTGCGTAAATCAAGTCGTTCAATTCAAGTCGATCCTGGGTCCCCGCGATTCAATAAGTCTATCAGTCTACAAGTCGGTCTTGTCTTCCAGGTTCTAGCTGAGCAGACCATAATCTCCAGCCAAACGAAAGCAGCGGTTGCGACGAACTCCGAAATGGTCATCAAAGTCGCTCAGATCTCTCAGCAACTGACACGCATCGAAGAACAAGTCAGCCTGTCTCAAACCTCGGCCGATTACACCGATTATCAGGACACCTCCTCAAGTTCTCGCACCCAGCAGTACCAAAGCGGAGGACTCGTCATACCTCCGGGCGCCGGTTTGCCTCAGTTCAATCTGACCGGAGTTCAGCATCCGTCCGCGCAAACTTCCTTCGCGGCCGCTGCTCCCACCAAACCACAGAGTGCCGTGGTGACCCCGAAAGATGACTTCTCCAAGAATAAGATTCTCTTCGAAGCTGAAGGAACTATTTACGAATCGCGGGCCGGCGTGTCCTATTCCGCCGTGTCGGGCGTCCACAAAATTGTAATCCTCCAAACACCGAACAAAGGCCCCATTCTCAATTCATTATGGTATTTCGATGCCCAACGTGTATACATCTCGCATGTAAGTGGTCCGGAGATTTGTCAATTTCTCAAGGGACAATTCCCTTTCATTCGATTCCTCGGAGCTCCGCGGAATTTCTCACGGGTTTTCCCGATTTCAGGATCTCGGTCGAATGACTTTCTCAACGTACGACACTGGCGACGGCCAAACAAACGTCCAATGGACTCACGGTGACAAATCATACTACATCCGTTTCACCGATTGGTCCATCCAGCCGGGCGAGATTCTCATGCGAGTTTTCCAAGATTGCGGAGTTCCACAGGAGCCGTGTCAGCCTGCGAAAGAAAATATTTTCTTAGCAGCGGCTCTGAACAAGACCCCGACCAAGAGCTTGGCGAGCACAACCTCACCCAGACCGGACGTAGCCGTAGAAACGCCGAAATCTTCGATTTTCTCCTCTCTAGCGATGACCACACCAAACACGACGAGCGTGCCGCTCGCGACCCCCGTAGCGGTCTCATCTTCCCCCGGGATCTTACCGACGCCCGCTGCACCCTCCGTGTCGCCTGCGAACGCGTCTAGTCCTTTTGCCCTCGGCTTCGGCAAATCCAGTCCTTTCACAAGCGTGACCGGTAAGGCTGCCGTTGCCGCCCCTGCTGCTGCTCCTGTTTCCACATTCGGTCAAACACCATCCCTCGGTGGATTCACATTCAACTCGACACCCGTCGTAGCAGCGAACACCGTGCCCGCTCCGACCGAGGTGAAAGCTGCCGAAAAATCCAAAACGGAAGAGGAGCCGAACCCCTTCTCCGGATTCAGCTTCCAGTTCCCTAAGCCGGAGGCTCCGCAGCCGACCCTCGGGAGCGGTTGGCCGCTAACCACGTCAAGCTCCGCCGCTTCGACGACCCCCACGAGCAAGGTTTTCAGTTTCTCGGCTCTCACGCCCACTGTTTCGACGGTCGCATCGAGCCCGAGCAATCCCGCCGCTGGCGTCGAAGGAGGAGACGCCGAAGGAGAAGACTACGAGTGCACTGCGCAGTTCAAGCCGGTCATCGAGCTGCCGCAGCTAGTCGATGCGAAAACAGGCGAGGAAGACGAGGATGCGAAATTCTGCGACAGAGCCAAGCTGTACCGATTCGATCAGCAAACGCGCGAATGGAAAGAGCGAGGACTGGGCGAGGTGAAGATCCTCCGCAATAAAACAACAGGAAAATACAGAGTTCTCATGCGTCGTGAACAGGTGCTGAAAATCTGCGCCAACCACCCAATCTTGCCTGGAATGGAACTCAAACCGAGACCGAAACCCACAGAACACTTGTGGTTCGCCCCTGATTTCGCCGACGGAGAGCAAAAGTACGAACAGTTCGTCATTCGTTTCAAGACAAAAGAACAAGCCGAGAAGTTCAAAGAGGTGTTCGACGAAGGTGTGAAAGCCGCCTCGGATTCCACCTCAGTTGAAACCTCGCCGTCAGCGAAGATTCCCTCGATCCCGGTGAAGGAGGAGGCTTCCCAAGGGAAACCCTTGCCCTCGCTGTCGGAAATGTTCAAAGTCGCCGCCGGATCGTGGTCTTGCAGTACTTGCTTGGTGAACAACAAGGCTGACGCGTCGACTTGCATCTCCTGCGGAACCTCGAAGTCGGGCGCTGCGTCTCAAGATACCGCTAGTTCCGCTCCCGCCGTCAGTTCTCCTTTCAAGTTTGGCGTCCCCGTCGCGGCTAAAGACAACGCACCTCCTGCGGTGCCGTCTTTCGGTGATTTTTTCAAACCCGACCCGAAAAACTGGGAATGCTCCTCGTGCTATGTGAGCAATCCTCCCACCGCCGAAAGCTGCCAAGCGTGCTCAGCGGCTCGAGCGTTCAAGTTCGGACTTCCGAAAACTTCGAGTTTCGGTTTCTCAACATCCAACCCCGATACGACACAAGCGTCAAAGGCTCCGATATCGACCACGTATACTTTCGGGACGTCAGCGAATTCATCTTCGGCTCCCCAGCCCGCGACTGGCTTCGTGTTCGGCAATACGGTCGCTTCCACGCAGGCTCCGGCGGCTTCTACGACTCCGACGGCTCCTGTTTCGGTTAAGAAAGAAGTCGAGGATCAAACACCGCCGGCTGCTGAGCTGTCCGCAGGCTTCACGTTTGGCAGTCCGCAACAGCATAAATTCTCCTTCGAAGCTTCGGGCGTTCGACATTCGGAGGACGATGACGATCAAGTCGTGGAATCGCAGGATCGGGATTTTGCTCCAGCGGTAGCTTCGCTTCCGCCCGAGGTTGAGGTCGTGACCGGCGAGGAGGGCCAGACGTGTCTCTACTCCGTCAGAGCGAAACTGTACCGTTTCGCGAACAAGGAATGGAAGGAGAGGGGAGTCGGTGACTTCAAAATACTGCAGGATCCTAATACGTCGAAAGTTCGTCTCACCATGAGACGGGAGCAAGTCCACAAGGTCTGCCTGAATCACTACCTGACCAAACAAATCAACTTCAGCAAACGCGACGACAGAACACTGGAGTGGCAAGCCCTAGATTTTGCTGAGGGGGAACCAGAGCCAACACTGTTCGCGATCCGGGTCCGTAACCGAGAAACGGCTTCGGCAATGCTCGACGCAATTCTCGACGCTCAGGGAAAACAGGCCCCGACACCCGTGAAAGCCTCGCCGAAAAGCGCCTCGCCATCGGTCGAAACCACACCGAAGCAGAAAACAGCTAGTCCGCTCAAACCGCAGGTCCTGTTCTCGGACTCGACGGACGCTCAAGAATCTTCGGCTTCGATTCGAAGTGATTCGGTTGAGGTTGTGAAAATCGAGAGAGCTTGCGATGCTGATGTCATGAGAGCTCGAGCGCTCATGCTTCCCGATCATTTCTTCCTCTACGAGGGACGGCAGCACAAATGCAAGGGCTGCCGAGGTTGCGAACAGGAAGAAGCGAATGAAGCTTGTGCAGCAACGCCACCGGTCAAGCCTGAGGAACAAGCAGCTGTCAAACCGAAGAAGGTCGCCCAGAAGAAGTCTCCGCAACCGGCCGAAAAATCTGCTCCAGCCGAAACATCTGCTCCAGCCTTGCAAGGACTCGCTGCGGTGAAAATCGAGTCGCAAACTACGAAAACTCCACCGAAAGCACCGCCCGTCTTTGGAGCGCCCCCGGCGTTCGGAACAGTACCAGTTGAAAGTGAGTGTATGCCCGATTTCCCCATGATTCCCTTGCCCGATTTCCCCATGATTCCCTTGCCCGATTTCAAAAAGCCGGAACCAAGTACGATTTTATGGATTGACGACTTTCCCCACAGAGACACAGAAAGAAACGCTGAAGCCATTGGAGCCTTCGGAAACCACGACGGACAGCGGTTTCTTGTTCGGTGCTGGATCCAGCATGACATTCTCAGCTCTGGCGGCGAAGGGGTCCACGACTGGCTTCGCGAAGTCCGGTGGTGATAACCCCCCATGGGGAGGTGGTCAGGTTTCGAGTTTCTTCTCATCGTTCTCGAAGACCGGAGCGACGAGCTCCCCTGGTAAAAACGACGACTCCACTCAGGACGTGGAAGAGGTTGAACCGTCGAAGGACATCCATTTCGAACCCGTCATCCCTCTTCCGGACCTGGTTGCGGTTCAGACCGGCGAAGAACAGGACCAAGTGTTGTACTCGCAGCGTGCAAAACTCTACGTCTACCACGGTGAAACCAGTGAATGGAAGGAACGGGCCCTCGGAGAAGCGAAAATTCTCCGCTGTACCGACGGTAGAGCCCGGATCGTTGTCCGTCGAGACATGGTTAGTTTTTCGATGACCGAGGATCTGTCTGAATTATCTTTGAAAACTCTCGAGCGCATCAATTTTCACCGTTACCCTCTTCTGACATCGTTTCCAGGTTCACAAAGTCGCTTGTAATCACTACATCACCGACGGCATGGAGCTGAAACCCCTTTCCACGTCCAACAACAGTCTCACGTGGTCTGCGGTAGATTTCGCAGAAGGTGATCCGACCCCGCAGCTTTTCGCTCTGAAAGTTAAGACCGAAGCCCGTCTGAACGAGTTCAAGGAAATTTTCGACCAGGAGGTGGAAAAAGCGCGGAAAGCGAAAGAAGGTGCGGACGGATTTGTTGTGGTCTGAAAGTGCGGTCGATATTAGGGGATGATCTCCAAAAAACTTCTAGATCCTCTCAATGATCCGAAGAGGCTCCCTTAGAATGTATTTGTGTAAAGAAAAAGAAAAAAACATTAAGAATTCCGAATGAGAGCATTACAGAGATCGTATCAAGAATGTCAATAAATGAGGTTTCTGTCCAGAACCGGCTGCCCCTGAAGTCTCTGCTCGATGCTATTGAGATCAATTTTCACTTGTCATCTTGGTTCTCGGCACGTTCTCTCCATCTGATATCACTCAATATATCTCTTGGACTCTGGGAGGGAGGTGAAGGTTCAAATTGATAGTGGATCCGAAAGTTGGAGATTATTCGGGAGAGTTACCATAGTTTTACAAGGATCTTGGGACGGAGCTCAGATTTACTCGCATGCTCGAAGAACTTCCAGCCGCTCGACTCCTCAAGTCACACGCGGCATATTCCGGCATCGCTGTTAATTCTACAAAGTTTGAATTGCAGGCTTAGACCAGACGGACGATGGCGATGCTGCGGGAGGAAATGGCGACGACTTAGAGGACTTCGAAATCGTGAAGTGCGGCCCCGAAGGCGTCGCAACCACGCGGGAGGACGCCAAGGAGGACTACGAAGAAGAAGTTTACGAATACGACGAAACCGCGGAGGAAGATGATGAATACGAAGAGGGCGAGCATGATTTCGACGAAGACAACGTGCTCTTCAGTGCCGTAGTTGACATCACAGAAGAAATGCCGATCGGCGGAAATAAATGGCTCGATCTTGGACAAGGCATCGTGCGCATCGTTTACGACGATGACATCTTTGGCCACGTTATTTATCTCAGCGACGCTGCAACCGACACTATCATCGCGAAAACCATAATCGCCGTCCAAACGTCTCTCCGGGAGACAGGTTGGTGATTTCGACTCGGACTTCTAGTTGCCGGGCCCATGTCCGATCGATTTCGATATATTCTTCCACCTTTCTTCTTTCACGGGGAGACCTCTAGAAAAAGACGAGTTCCTCTATTGCAGGACGCAAGGCTATCTGGATGGCTCAAGACGTCAAGCAGGAGCCTTTATTGCGGCGTCGCTTCTCCATCGAGTTCTGCACGGATGACGACCTCAAGAACTTCTCCGTGGTCTTCAATGAAGGGAAGGATACGGCGCTCAAATGTGGTATCCTCGAGAATTCCGACCAACCGCCATGGACGAGTCCGGCCGCTCCTTGATCCTCTTAAAATATATCGATGCTGTACAAACAAATGTTTGAATCCTTGAAAGTATAAGTGTGCAAGTGACGAGACACGAATCAATCATTAAAATATGTTCCGGCTTTTCTAATCGAGTGGTTCCTTTTTGCTTCGCTGATCCGTCACCGTAATGAGAGCTTCCTCGACAAGGTGATGAGGATTGAATCCTGTGAGAATCGATCGTCATTGCAGAAACAACATTCGTTCCAATCCACCGACGATGAAATGCCACAGCTTGTCGACTAACACGATAATGTTCTGCCTCGATTTATTCATCGATTCACGGATCAAGAACTCCCGTGCTCTTTATATTTCGCAAGCAATTCATCGACATCTTCGGACGAGCCGAGGAAGATCGGCTGCCTACAATGAAGACCGCTCGGGACCACGTCTAAAATCGGGATCTTTCCGTTCGAGGCTTTCCCTCCAGCTAATTCCATGATGAAGGCCATGGGGTTGCATTCGTACAAGAGACGGAGCTTTCCGTTGGGAGCTTCTTTCGTTGCGGGGTACATGAAGATACCTGGTCGGAGGGATTCGAGAAGTCATTCCTGAGACAATCCAGCAGAAATATGTGCAGATTGATAGGAAGAGAGCCGAAGCTCCAGAAGCTACACGAATCGGCGATTGCGTCCTTACCTCCGTATTTTAGCGTTCTGTGGACGTCTGCGACCATCGAGCCGATGTAACGAGCGCCGTAAGCCTTCCCGACTTTCGGGTTCTTCTTTTCCTCGACGTAGGCTTTGACGGCGGGATCCCACAGCGCAGAATAACCTGTTGTTCGGAAGATGAGCATTACAGTATGTCACTCCGTGCTCGAATCGCCCGGAATCTCTATCCAAACCACGAGGGAGGATCATCCTTTCGGAAAACGTCCCGAGAGTCCCACCCAAGCCTCAAAGATATCAATAAGAGAAAATATGGGACCTTGAGAACGAAACGCATACCTTCGTTGATGGAGTATAATTTGCCGCGAGGCTTCACTTTCATGTCAGGATCGGTCAAGATGAACTCGCCCAGAGACGGATCGAGCATGAACCCATTCACGCCGCTTCCCTTGAGGCCCAGGACGATCATGGTGGCCGAGCCGTAAAGCGCGTAGCCGGCGCAGACCAGTTGTCTTCCTGGTTGTAGGGCATCGCTCTCTGAGACGGTATCGCCGATCTGGAATTCACAGAAGATCAGGAAAAAGTCACATTGGAATAGGACGAATATACGGGGGACACTATCCGTCCAAAGTGCGACCGGGCGACACAGACGAGTTTCCCTCCCCCCCCCGGGCGTGAGAACAAACTTTCTTGTAGATGGAGAAGATCGAGCCGATCGACACGAGACAATCGATGTTCGATGAGCCGTCGAGCGGATCGAAGCACACCACGTATTTCCCTTGTTTCTCCAGGTCCACTTCAATTGCTTTGTCGTCTTCTTCGGAAACGAGCAAGCAGGTCGTGTACGATGATCTCAGCATGTTCACGAACAGGTCGTTGGCGAGAACATCGAGTTTCTTCTGCTCCTCGCCCTGGATATTCGTGTTGCCCGCGATGCCATACAGATTCGCGATACCTTGGGTAAGGAAGAATCAAATGAGTCGACTCGAGATTCTGCTCCGCCTCAGGGTTACGAACTACACTGGGAAGACTTTTCCAACCCCCGGGTCTCCTCCTGTAGAGCTGATGGGAGATTTGGAAAATCGAATACCCTATGGAGACTTCTCAACTTGAACGAGAGCGGCGCCGCCGCAGTCGTCATTGCCTGGAGCTTCGAACGAAGAATATCTTTGTTACATTGATCTCTGCATATATTCTACTTTCCTCCATCGTCCTTAATATGTTATTAAACGCCGTGATCTTTGAAGAGGATCGTGATGCGCCTTGAACGCTTTCGCGATTCCTCCGCTTGAGAAACAGGAGCTAGATCAAATTCAATTTGACCGCCCACTCATAATTGCAACTTGGAGAGCTCATCTGATTTCCCGCAGCCTGCCAAGCGCAACGCTGCCGAGATTCGCGTCGTGTGAGCATCGCCCATGGAGGAAGCAACCTCTATACCTGATTGGTTCGTATATCCGTGAAGACACTCCGAATGAATATTATTGTAACTGTCAATATTTATTCCTATAATATGAACACAAGCAATTATTATGAGTCCGCCTCGGGGTCCCTTTCTCTGACATGACTCCCTCGATAGACCATAAATATTTTTGAAAATAGAATATTCACTCGAAGGCTGCGAGGGCTATGACGATCCGCATAACTCGTATAATGAACTTCCATAACTCGACCCACCGCGGAGCAAGCTTGCTGGGGTTTTTGCTTCTCCGGCGGCGGGAATACTTGATAAATCTTATTTTCCATGAATCTGAGTTTGGCCCTCGATCCATTGACTCAGCTGACGGGTGCGTGACGTTGCGAGGCTCGCAGCTGGACGAGAGTCATTCCCGTCTCGAAAACCTTATCTGCTAGAGCTTGATTGTCTTTCGTCAACTGCGCATTGGAGTCGATGAGTCTCTGAAGGATTTCCTGGAGCTTCTCAGTGCTCATTTCTTCGAGCGGGTCTCGGTACACTGATTTCATAGAGGTCACACGGGACTTATGGTTGCGAACCATTCGGATCATTTTTATCTGTTTGTGCTCATCACGTATCCGACGTCGAATTTCGTCTTTGACTTTGAGAAGTTCCGCTTGCTCCGCGATGATTCCCTTCCACTCTTGCTGTAAACGCTGGAGCTCGCTCGCTTCGAGCGGTTTCCCCGAGAGCGCTTCGGGTTTCGCGATTGACGCCGGCTTGACAGCTTCGTTCATGAAGTCATCTTTATCGAAGGCTTCATCATCGAATTTCGCCGAATCTACTCCTTGATTGAGTGGATCGGTCTCAATTTTAGCCTCGACGACAGGAGCGCGGACCGGCTGTAAAATCTGGTCGTGTTTCGGCTGCGGTGCGGGCGAAATTTTGTTCTGGATATCGCTCGCGGGAGCATCGAGCGCATGCTTTTCCTCGATTTTGTCATTTTCGCCCAAGTCCTTTTCGTCTTCGTTACTCTCATTGACCGCTTGGATTGTCATTTTCTCCGGAACTTCTCCCTTGTCCAGACCTGCCTCCGGCTCCATCTCAGGTGCTTGTACTTCGGGTGTTTTCACGGTTTCCTCTCCGTGACTGGGTTTCTCCTCGCGATCCACTTCGTCGGCGGGCTGGAGCTTCGCAGGAGTCTCGCTCTCTTCCCGGCGCTCCTCGAGGTTCATTTCGACCTCTTTGATTTCCGCGGTGTTCGCCGAGCTTATCTGTTTGAGCTTACGCTTCAGTTGGGTAACGTTACGTTGAGCTTCCCAGAGTTTCTCCTGATGGTTCTCCTTGGTTTTGTTCTTGTCTTTGGACGCTTTGAGTTTCGCCACCAGCCAATGCATTCTCGCCAAGCGCGCTTCCTCAACCTTAAGTTCGTCCTCGAGCGAAAGTGGACGCATGACCGGCTTGAGCACATTCAAAGCCTTCTGAGACACTTTGAATAGGGGTGTGAGATCGATACCGATGATTTCCATGTGGAGTACGAGCCGCTCGAAAACGGCTTTGTTTACGGCGAGCACTTCTTTCTGATAGAGATTCTGTATTTTCTGAGTTCTCTTTTCAGAAAGTTTCGCCTCTTCGAGTTTCGATTCCATCACCGGTCCCAATATATGCGACGGCTGTTCCCGGAGGAAGAGTTTCACCAATCCGGCCGCGATTTGGGGCTCTTGCAAGACGAGCTCTTGGCCGTAGTTGAGCGAATGACGAGCTTGGTGGATTTTCGACTTGAAGTGAGATGTACCCTTGTAGAAATTGTGGCTGGGATCGTATTGTTTCTCCACATAGTTCAAAAGCTCTGTGAGAAACTTCGGGACGAGTGGGGTTCTCGGATCGACACTGGGGTTTCTCTTGAGAACGTCTTTCAGATCAACGCCGAAAAGTTTCACTTTCGTCGGTTTCGACGTCGTTTTCGCACTGGACTTGCCGAATTTGAATCTTCTTGAAGATGAGACTTTCGTGACATCCTCACACGACGCACCGGAACCGTCTTCCTCGAAGGCCCTGTAGCCTTTGTCTTTGTCCTTTTTCTTTTTCACAGACAGGATTTTCCGTCCCTCCTCGTCTCCTGATCTGCTATCCGCGTAGAGACCAGGGAATTCCTGCTCCGCATCGGGACTGTCGAGATCCATGTCGGACGGTCAATGCGGCTCGCTCGGGCAGTCAGTCAATTTTGGTGGACACAATGATCCTTACACCCGGATGACATCAACAAATAGTCGTGTTCCCTTCAATGCGGCACTGCATGACGAAGTTACCGCCGACCGAGAGAATTTTCCGGACTGAGAAGCACAGCAGTAGCAGCCTACTGCCGTTCCATCACATCACTCATTCCAGGCAGTAGACAGTCGTCGTGATACCGATCGTCATTCATCATCAACACGCATGGAAGTTGCCATTTTGGGGAGAGGGGGAATTTAAAAAAAACGCGCCGGAATCCCCGCGCGTGCAAAACGTGAGAGCGCTCAAGTTATGGGACGAGAACGAGATTTCGAAGCCGCTTCCAAGCCGAGAACACCCCGTAACTTTAATGCCGGTGATTCCAGTTTCGGGTATTTGGCATACGCAGCTGATTTCTAAGGACCGTGGCGGCCAGAAGTGCGATGGATATCCACCGCGCTTGGTAAGAAAATTAGGATTGATTACATCATCCGTGCTCCCGGCTTCATCGCCGAGACTGTACGTAGGTACTTACCGGCCCTTCTCACGGCGGCAGCGACGGCCTTGATAGCTGTTTGGAGCGAAGTGATGAGTCGGGTCAGATTTCCGGAGGCGCTTTTATGTTTACGCTGTTCTCCGAGGACGAACCGGGTGAGTGTCATCGCATTCGTGTCCATCGTGTCTCTGAAGAAAGCGAATCGAGGTCCGTATTAGTCGTGATTTCTCCAGGGACCGGCGGTACCATTCGCGTTTCCAGCCTTTGTGCTCTAGTCCAGAGCTGCCACTGATCAACGGTAAGGGTTCGAACCACGCAAGAAGTAGGAATAGAACAAACATCCAGGGTTTTCGGGTGGGAGCATCGGCAGTGCGCTTTTCTGAGGCTCGGGTACTTAATGTGTCGACGTATAGAGGAAGAAACCGAAGAGGATACCGATCCAATGCGGGGCATGACCCCGTCCATTTATGTTTGTGGCGAACGGACCAGGTCCATTGCGCATTCACTGCATCCAAACCGCGTTATCCTTTCGAGGGCAAGCCAACGGAATCGAAAAGCAACATGAATCTCTTCAGAGGGATCGCCAGTGAGTCGACCCTCAGGAAAAATTTCTTCAAGGGCGTGATCATGAGAATCGAGTCCATGATTGAGGACTATATGCCCCCTCAACAATTCGGTTTCAGACGAAACCTCGGAACGCAAGACGCTCTTCACGTGGTAATCGAGATCGAGAGAAGCCTTGCCACGGAGGGGCAGACATTCGCCATCCTGATAGACTGCCAAAAAGCCTCTGATCTCGCTCCAAGACAAGGAATGGTGGGTGCCTTCAAGAGAGCGGGAGTCAACGGGCAGCTACTCAAAGTCATTGAGAGCTTCTACCATGAAGACTCACTCGAAGTCAGCATCGGGAGAGGAGTCAGCGTTGACATACAACAGAATCGCGGAACGCCCCAAGACGATCCGTTGAGCTGCACAGGGTTCTCGCTTCTCCTCGCAGAGCTCCCAGCGGAAGTCATCGAGCAGTGTAGAACAGGAACGATTGCAATGTTCGCCGACGACATCATCATCCTGCACCGACACAGAGGCCAGCTACAGACGATGCTCGACGTAGTTAGCGACCATCTCGAGGAAGTAGGACTGCGATTGAATGCCTCAAAAACAGTGGTGATGAAGATCGGGCGGGGAGGCCGCCTCAGCCGGCATGACCGGATTCTGTGGAAGGGAAAGCCGTAGGAAATCGTGACGTCGGCGAGATACCTCGGACTCCGTCTCCAGACAACCGGGACATAATTCACGGAGCACATCGAAGAGGTCTGCTGCAAGACGATCGCGACGATGTACGCGGACACTGGAGACCCTTACAACGCTCTGACCGACCTCCTCGCGAGACCCCAATCTCCAGCGGAGGCGCCGGAACCCCATCCATGGGAACAAGATCAACTCCCCCCTCAAGGGAGGTCATCTCCAGTTGAACCCTCAGACCAGGTCGACCCTGAACCTCACACGTCAGGACCACCGTCAGTCTTCGCTTCCCAAACCATCGTCACCCCGGAGAGAGCGAAGCTCGACTTTCTGGAGACCCGAATAGACTTTTACCGGAAAGCGACACAGAATGAAAGGGACAGCCCGAGAGATGCCCTCGCACAAACGGCTCGCCTGAGAAAGATCCTTTCCAGGGCAATGGATCCAAGCCTCAGAGGCCTTCATAGAGTCCTCACCCAATACAACTCCAGAGGTTCGCGGATCATTCGTCGAAACCGAGAGCATGATCAGCAAATCACTGCCATATCTCAAGGAGCTAGGAATCTCAATCGTGGCCGAGATCAAAACGTCGACGGAGTCCACGTTCGACACGATCCAAGATCCCCCACCGGCTACCGCTCCACCGATCACAGCGAACGCTCAAGTTCCAGTGCGAACACTCAGCGCCCAAGCAGAGGGTGGTCCTTGGTGTACCTCGACCCAAATCGAAGAAGCCCGAGGGGCGCAATCAGGGCATCCGACACGACCTCCGGACTCTCCTCACGTATCGCACATAGCACAAATGCCCCTCCGGGGCTGACTCCCAGCATCGGCGACCCAGAACTCCCGGATCAACCCCCACCCGGACCAAACAACCAGCCACATCTTGGTGGCAACCAACCACGGACGACGGTCGAAGAGAGCAGTACGGCAACGGAAAGCCCGAAGAGCCCGAAAAACTACCTGCCGAAACTCAGCAAAAATTTTGAGCTGCCGAGGTTCTTCATCAACTCCAAAGGAACGATCACCAACCTCCTCATGGAACAACCTCCTCGGGGGACAAACGGGATCCTAGCAGGTTCGCACGCGGAGCATCCAACAGACAAAGGGCTTCGGCTCACGTTCAATCTGCTCTCGAATTCGGCTCGAAAAAAAGACCGATTTAATCGCGCACGACGCGAACCGAACTCGACTCTTGCCTTTCCATAGAGAGAGGAACATTTCGGATTCAAATCATTGGCGCGTGGCGATGGTTCACCTCGGAGAACTCCCGACACCCTGTTCCGGGAATTCCGGGGGGCGACTGTGACGAACGGACCAGGTCCATTGCGCATTCACTACATCCACACCACGTTATCCTTCCCAACAGAAATACTATTTCCCCGCAACCAATTCAACCACTTCCTCAGAGAGACCGGAGCGACTTATTGGAGGAACTTCAGATCAAGGATTCATATTTCTTCAATCCCTTTACCAATCAGTGTACATTATAATTATCATCAATATCAATCGTATCTCCAGGGGTTCGATTCCCAGTGTAGTGTAGTGGCTAGGCCAGGTCTCAGATCCGATTGATTCACACGAACAATCTCAGGCATAGAGCGTCTGCTTCTGCATCCTCATTTTGATCACTCCAGCGTCTTCACTTGATCATCTAGGATAGTGCGCTTGACTGTGGTTCTGACTGGGGGCTCAAGTGATTCTACGATGCGTAGGTCGGAATGAGCGGACGGTGCAGTCTCAGATGCCCGACTATTCAGAGGCTAGGATAGGTGATAACTGGAAGCCTATGACATTGTAGGGCGACCTAAGCCCACGGCCTGAGTAACCACCGACTCAAGTAGTTGTCTGCACTCCTCCTGGAAGGGCCTGGAGCCAAACATTCTTGCGAGATATCGAACATCCGGAAGTCGGGCATCTGGGAGACGGGCATCTGACACCAAACTCACAAGTGAAGGAGCCTCGGGCCCATGCGTGCGGGGAAATCAGACACACATAAATCAGGATGGAAACAATCTCTCTTTCCAGAAACAGAACAGAAATAAGTTCAGGAGCCATCAGTTCCGTGCCGATCGGACAGAAGCTCACAGATCGACAACTCGGATGCTACTGAGTGCTCGGATGCCCGGTAGAGTCGGAGCCTGAATTCGATTCTCCGAGATAAGTAAGTCCCTGAGCACCACTGTCGAATCCTATTTGGTCTACGAGCTCCAGAAGCTTGCTCGACTATCCAAGAAGAGAATCGGAAAGGTCATCGATATCGTGCGTCTCCCGTACGAGCTCTTACTCCATACTCATTTCAGACTTCTCATTCTACGATAAGAAAAAGATGAAATCGACCGCCACGCAAATATTTATTGTTGCAGGGTATACACAAGGGTGGGTTCAGGGACCTGCGTTTCCAGGAGCCACCACGGTGAAGTCGGAAAAATCTGTAGCAGCGGGGGGCACGACAATCTGAGCTTCGAGAGCTTCCCGGAGGAGTTGCGGGTTTTCGTGATCAACCTTCGATTTGACGATGTGTATCGGTGGGAGAACGTGCGAGCCACAATCGCACTGCTTGCCGCTCACGAAGTCGTATGAGCCAATCCTCAGAGAACAGAACGGGCAATGGAGTTTGCCTTTTATCCACCCGCCGGCGTCAATTTGTGACTGGAGCCATGTTTCGAGGACTTCATCCTTCAGGTACCAAACGAATTGTTTGGCAGAACACACATTTGTGTGGCTCTCCGTCCAGGGCTCGGAGTGATTCGTGAGCACGAATTCCCCACCGAAAAGTTCCTTACGACATTTCTGACATTTGAATTTATTCATCTGCACCCTAGGAAGGAGGAAATCGATCGTGAGGGACGTCAGCAATATATTTCTCGAGCGGATTATTCGGAAAATGTAGAGCGCAAAAGAGAGGCAGGGCCCAGGCTCCGAGAGCTCATCGAGACCAGAAACTGCGGTGGTGGATGGGACGGCACACGGGCAAACTTCCGAGAGCATTCTACGAGACCGAGAATTGACTGGGAGATCCCAACCCCCCTTTCCCGCCCCAACCTTGTAAGGTTCCCCTAGAGAAATTAGGATCACATTTTGCCGGAAGCAGATCCTTTCTTGACGTCAATCGCCAACTCGTAACAGAGCATAGCCAGACGGCGATTATCAGGGGCAAGATAAATGAAAGCCTTGGAGAAGGACACGCTCCTATCGGTGACGGACTCCCATCTCATCCAGGAGCTCAAAGGCCAATGTCTGCAGACCTGCATGATTCAAGGACTCCTCGGGGAACACCTTCCGACGGGACTATTGGAGAGAATCCTAACACGTATCCCTACTGTTCCGGATGCAGAAGGTCTGGATCGACGAAAATCGGAACAGACCCTCGCGTACACTTCGGATCAGATCGGATGTCACCATGAATTGGTTCATCAACGACCAGGCGGACCGCGCGAGCTAGCCGAGGGAATGAGCTGCTGTCCGAGCACGCGAATCCGAAGACTGTCCTGACACAGTCGAACCTCGGGATGAATTCAGTGATCTCGGTCCCGTCATTGATTTCGATCGCACAGACTCCGATTCTCCGGAGCGAGGGACCGCGATCTACCCGAACGCCGTCAAAAGTTCGCGAGCACAATATTGTCAACAGATTCCAAGCTGCTGGCCAGAACGCAGCGACGTCAGCGCACGAATGCCTTCGCCTGGATCGAGACTTACTCTGAAAAGTCGTGATTGAAGATTCGCGATCGGTCGGTGACTCAAAACTGGGGCAATTCCTGATCGACGATACACGCTTTGCGGGGGAACCACTGCGAGGCCTCGCTTACTCAAAAACAAAACGCTTTGAACGGACGTCTCTCGTTTCTCACTCGCTCGCCCGCCCGTTTGTCCATCCGGCCGCTCGATTCCTCTCATTGCCAAGCTGATAGCAACAGAACCCTTTTCTCTCTCATTTGCCTTTGGACCACGCATGCGCTGTATTACCTAAGGAATTGCGTTTCTTCCCAGGATGGCAACCGCTCCTGGTTGGAATGCTGCAGGAGATAGCCAGAGTCTGCTCGTCTGTGTCTGAGAAAGGACTACCGGAACGATTGCTCGGAACAGTACGGGACGATAGTTTTCTCTTTTCCTCATGGCCTATGTTTGTAAACAAAGAGCAGACGGCGTGGCCGTCCTCGGTCGTTGCCAATGTCCCCGCCTGGTAGCGCCACCGGTCGTGGAGAGCGGAGAGCATGACCGAGTGGACCTAGTAAGTGGATTGGTGGGGCACATTAACTCAGCGGGGTTGCCAAAAATTAGGGGAGAGGTCCTTCCTGGAACTTAAGGCAGGAGTTGGCTGGACGAGCAGCGAGCGATGGATGTCCTTTTGTGGAGAAGTGACCGCAATCGCTCCGTCTTCTAGCGATATCTTTTGATAACTATAGTACTATTGACTTCATTCAACAATTTTTGGTGTCAAGGTCCCTGCCCTAGGATATGGCGCTGTCGGGTGGCGAGTGGCGAGGTTTATTCAGATCTTGATCTGATCTGGGCAATGAATATCAATCGACGAAGTTCCGACATCAAATAATGCTCACTCGTCGGCAGCGTTGCTGCAATCCGGTGCCGTATTAAATGGCGAGACTTCGGTCGCGGATCCTCACGGGAAGCTCCGATGTGTTCCACGTTTCCTCCTGCTACTGTTTGGTGGAGCCCGTCCTTAGGAAATTTCCTATTCGAAGAAACTGCTAATTTCGCTTTCCATGCCCCAGGCAAACGCCTCCGTACAGATCTCAGATCTCACTCACTCAGTGCCGTGCCTTCCACCGTAGATGAGATTTCGCCTTTGACACGGACACAGAGCTCGAAGCAATCTTTCATTGATGACCACGCGGTTGTTAGAGGTTTGTTCGGCACGATGTGCGGCACTTGAGGAGTGTCAAAGAAATCAAAAAAGAAGTCGTGAGGTCCTTGAGCATCGTCAGACCGTCGTGGGGGTTTCTGACTCGAAAAACCTCAAGTGTCACCAGGGGCCCGTTTTGTACCAATGGCTATGACACGTTTGTAGGTGGTCGAAAGCGTGGTTATACATCCTTTCTGCGCGCGTCGACCAGCGGCCAAGAGCGTCGTCGTGGGAGGGGAAGCGGCCTCGGGTGATTATCCTAGGCAAGGAGAGCAAAACAGGAATCCGTCAGAGAATTCCGTGCAAAACTGAACACTGGGTAATACCGTTCGAGACTACTCGATACTCATAGGCTGCCTGTAGGCATGGCGTCGAACACCATCCACCAATTTTCTCTCATGAGTGAGTATCTTTTCGCAAATGCCACAAAGACGTCGATTCAGCACGTCGAAACTTCTGTGCGAGCAAGGACTTCCAAATCGGGTGAACTACAAGGTCCTGAACCTAAGAACTGGGAGACGGACTCGGAGGAGACTATTCATGATGGTAGTCAAATACGCCCGACCTCCCGTTCCTCCACCGAGCCATCACCGTCAAGCACCGAAGACTATGTCATGTTGTCCGATTTTGAAGCGAGGTGACGACCGCCTCGGAGGTTCATAGGTCTATGGAGAGGTCTATGGACTTCCGAGGAGATGTTCTTCATTCGAGATGGTTGTGCTCGGAATCCGGATACGGTCAGTACGTCACATGCTGATGCTGAGATCGACACAGTATATTTTTCTATCGATATTAGAAGAATGCGAAAGCATCGCAGCATCCTTCCGGATTCCGAGACCGTCCGAGAGAGTGCGAAAGGTAGCTCTGGAGTCCAGGGGGTTCGCAAACCTGAACCGACGGTAGGTAAGTATTTCTCCGCGAAAGCCTGTGATAAGCGGGAAGGATTATTGTTATTCCGAGTTGGATCGAATTTAACGTCATAAGATGATTTCTTCTCGACGCCTTCAGGTTCTGATTATTCATCCGATTTTTATCTCCGCTATAGGAAATGCAAGCCGTCCTGGACAAGCTTCCTTCCAGTTGCCTGACTCGGCGCTGCCTAGAGGTTTGTGGGGAAAACGGAGCCGGAGTCCCGCGCCAAAAATGAATTTTGGCAGTGCCGTGGCAAATTCATGAGCTCTCACTTCGAAGCGAAGGTGTAGTTTCGGAGCCTTGGAGGAATCGCCATAGAAGAAATCCACTCCGATACTGATCCCTATGTCCTGGATAAAGAGCATGGACCCTCCTGGCGTCTGGTAATCGCGAGCGCTCCGTATCTTGTTTTCGAGTCAGGGGATCAGGTATCGTCCTGCACGACCCGAGTCTCCGTGCGATGCGCTCTATTCGTGGCACTTCTCGTGTCAACGTCTGGCGGCGTCGAATTAGAAATTTAGAATGTCGCGCGGCATGAAGCTCGCGTCAGCCCTCGATTCCTCCGAGTCTGTTGTACTCGCAGTCCCCGGCGTTGCGCGGAGCTGATTGGGCTTGATTACGACTCGCTCGGAGCTGCTGTCACGCAGTGGAGTGAGTGGTGGATTGCTCGCGGAACGGCAATCTTCCCCGAGTAGGATGATCTCGCGAACATCTCGTGAATCGCCCATTTGATTAAGCATTCTCTCGGAGCATGATTCCCACTATCTTCACCAGATCTGAACTCAAACAACGCCAAGATAGAAATAACCGTGATGGAACTCCAAGCTAGGGCTCCGCTCCGAAGCCTTCGAGCTTGTGTGAGCCCAAGTTTCCCTCGAGAAGCTGTGATCGAGGCATTCCAGGTTTTACAATAATTCCTGTTCCGGATTCCGGATAATGAATTTTCCAGGTCAGCGTTGAAGAAGATAGGTGAAAGCTTTCAGCTCTTCCAATCCAAATCGACTGAGTGAGGGCCGAGCCGCAAACTCGACTTGGCAGCCCGTTGGCACCGGAGGGATTTCGTTCGATGAGATCCGCGAAGATCTCAGCTCCTACGGAGCCGGTCGTCCGAAGTTCCTCACGACTTCCCATCTTCTCGTTGTTCGGAATCAGTCGATGACTGGCCGAGCGGACCGCTAAATGGATACAAACTGCATCCACTAATCAAGCTATAGATGAGCTCGGGAGCGTGGTCCACGATGCGCGTGCTTAACGAAAGCAGAAGCCCTCCAGCTTCAACAACCCCTGTTTTCTCCGCCGACAGGTCATCACGACTTCGGCAGATTCTCACTCATCCCTCGACCGTGCATTCTCTGGCTGACTGCAGTCAGTGGGAGGACAAACGTGGCTCCTGGCTGACTGACCACCGGCTGGCTGAGAAGATCAATTGTGTGCAGTCGCACCGTTAACTATCGGAGCGCAATCGAAAATTTCAGATGAGAAATGGTGCACACGAATGGGTTCCGTATGATTGCGCGAGGAATATCATGCATCATGGGAGGTACGATTGAATTTGTCGCACAATGGACTCGTTAGCGACATCGCCGAATATGAACGAGGATCAGAATACGGAAACTCGGAATTAATATGTATCTGGAAGCTGTCTGCACTCATTGTCGTTTATTATCGTTCGAGATCGCTCGGGCGAGGGCGTGGCTCCGACCGCGATAGCGAGATGCGACTCCAGAAGGATTTCGGCCACATGCTCAGTGATGCCGATTGTGTGGTGGAAAATAATTACGACGCGACGCGGGAACGACGACGAGCGTTCAGCCTCTCCTCGTGAGAGCGAGACTCCCATTAGCTATTTCTCCGTGTTGACCCTCGCTTCCAGTGGACGCAACGAACTTGTTCGTCGGAAAGAGGATCCCTCCGTGTTCTGGTCGACTTGCACTTCGGCGAGAAGATGGAATCCCGATCTTCTGCTCCAGATTGCCAATCGACCATTAGACCTGCGGCTATTTTTCCGACAGCGTCCCGAGGTATCCCAGTTGGCGGTGGTCCCTGTCTTGACCGGCGCTATCAGATACTGCCGGGCGGGTACACACGCAGCCAGAAGATATATTCTTAATTTTTTTTAAATTGTCCGCTCCTAATTTGAGGTATTGATGTGGGCCGCTGCCGCTCACAAGGCGCTTATGCCTCCGCGTGAAGCGCTCAAGTGTAAATGAAGGACATCGCGTTGATTCCGAGAGCACACACGGTTTTCTGAGCAACAAAACTCATCCGCCGGGATATCATTCGAACGCGCGATTAGTTTCCGTGACACACTCTTTGATGTGAGCAATCTGAAGCTTGAGCCGGATGTTTAGTGTCACAGAGAGACGCCATTATTGTTACGGACAATTTTTGGAATTACCACCGGGAGACGTCAAAACCAGATCCTCTGTGGAATTAGTTCTGGTGGAGCAATTAGCAGATTTACACGGGTGAACTTCGAAATTCGCGACTCGAGGAAGAAAAATGAAAGCCGGTCAGCCCTATCCGGGGAATTTCAAAGTCTCAGCCCGGATCTGGAATTATATCCCAGGAGATCTTCGCTAATTGCGGGAAAGTCTTGGTCGATATCTACAAAGACTTAAGTCTGCATCGACTCGTGCGAGACTCAGCTAGATCTCAGGTCTCGCGTCTGGCCGACGAGGACCCTCCCGAGACCTTGAGGCACACGTATGTTTCTCCAGAATTCAGGAGTCCTGGTCATGAAGAACTCGCTGCGAATCCAGTGGGTCGACGGAAGGCTCAGGAATTAAAATGATAGTGATCATCGTTTGCTTCCTTTCGGCTCTCGTTGTTGCACAGCATAAAATATTCAACTGCTCCCGACGAAATTGCTGAAGCGTAACGCTGAAAGAGGAGGCCGGCCGCGAATCGCGCCGCCCACGCCGCTTCGCCACGAAAACTCTCAGTTTCGTTTCGAAACGCCGCCAGAGATTCCCTCATCTTGATACCTTGAAGTCTCCCTTCCCATCTCCTGATCGTTTTTGGCGTTACGTGACAAGGATTCTTGGGAGGATGGATTCGCTTTTAATCCATTCGAGGTAGACCGATCACGTCGGATTAAGGGATTGTGATGACGCGCACTT